CAGCATCATCATCATCGTCATCATCACCATCGTCATCATCATCCTCGTCATCATCGTCGGGATCGCACTCGTCTTATCTAGCTCCTCTTCCTCCTCGCTCATATGATCGAGTTATTCACTTTCCTGGTCCCTCTCTACCTCATCATCATTCCCCTCCTGAGGGTGCAGAGGGACGGGGATCCAGCGCGAGAGAATACTAAAAAGCGCGCCGCCCTCAGCCCGAGGTTGCAGTGCCCCGCCGCCGCCCTCAGCCTGAGATTGCACTGCCCCGCTGATGGATGGATGGATGGCACGCTCATCAAGGCAGCGACTGAAAGCAAGCTTGCAAGCGAGAGAAAAGATTTCGTCGATCGCTCGATCGTTATGTCCTTGCCGCCCAAGGAGAGGAGCAGCTGACGGGACAGGCCCCAACGCACCCCGCTGAAGGAGGATAAGAGGATGAGGGAGGAAGTGCGACGGAGAGCAGGGAGCAGATGAGGGAGGGGATAATACGCATGATCATTTTTTAGGGGGGGGCAAGCATATATATACAAGTGGCAAGCCGTTCTGGCTCAGGCATTTGCCTGTGCTTGCAGCAGCTTAGATTCAGAACGGCACACAGCTGTTGCGGGCCTCTGTGGCTTTATTTTACGCAGTTCGCGGGATCTCAACCCGCAGCCTTTCACCCTGCCCCTGTTGGAGCTACTCGTTTACCACGACTCAGTCTGAGCGATGGCAGGTGGAGGATCTGGCGGGCATGGACGTGTTTCGTGGGCGCCGTGGCATCGCTCATGGGCAGTGCCTCCTTCTGGAGGGAGGGCCCACTATGGCGCGGCTGCCCGCCCGCCCCCGAAGCGTGACCAACGAGCGTGGCCTCCCTTGGCCCCTGGCCCGCAGGGTACTTCTCCTGGCGGCGCTGGCCATCCTGGTCACAGTTCCGCTTCCAAGAGATGGACTTGCAGCATTTGCGGTTGCAAAAAGAATGAGGCCAGGTTCTTCTTTTGCAAGCATTGTGGTGAGCTCAAGTGTGACTCCGTCCTGCATGGCTCGGCCTGGTCGTCAGGCAAGTCGCTTGCCATGTTCGGCGACGCCCCCAGCTCCGCAGGGAAGAGTGGCGAGAAGGGCGCGTCTGGCTCAGGCAAAGGAGTGGCTGGCGCCCCCTTCTGCTGGCGCCCCCCAGCTCACTGCGGACGAGCGCCTGCAGTTGGCGGCCCTTCGCGACAAGCTGGGCGACTCTCGGAGTACAGCGGCGCACCGCACCGCGGCTGCGGCACCGTCGGCGCCCGCCCCAGCGTCAGTCTCGGTGCAGGCGCTTCTCAACAAGGCTCATCAGAAGGCCCGTGCGATCGAGAAGAAGCTGGAGAGCGCCGTCAGCAAGTTCGAGATGCTGGAGGCTCAGCTCGCGGCTCACAAGGACCAGGTGCTGGTTCTGCGCAGTGACTTGGAGCAGGCTGAAGGCGAACATGGCGAGCTCGTTCGGCGCCTTCATGACGAGCTGCCGAGTGCAGGCCCTCCGTCTGATACGGCCTCTGGCACGAAGCTCTGCCTGGAGGATTTGCTGGACGAGAAGCGCTTCTCGCAGATGTTCGATCTTGATGTGGGAGACTGCTTCACGATCACCGACGACGAGCAGCTCTCACCTGAGGGGGCCAAGCAGTTGGCCGATCGAGCGGACCTCTCCAAGTCTGGCATCACGGACATGGCGCGCTCCTTGTTTGCTGAGGCCAAAGCGAAAGTGGATACGTTGCGTGAGGAACACAAGCAGTTGTCTCAGCGCATCGCCAAAAAGCGGAAGACGGAAGGCGGTGCAGCGGTCGACGGCGCAGGAGTTCCAGGCGAACAGGCACCCCTTGCAGCAGGCACTGGCAAGGATGGGGCTTCAGCGACTGGCACCAGCTGCGGAGACCGCCCAGAGGCAGGACCTGCTTCTGCTGGCGCTGCCTCTGAGCAGGCGACAGCGGTGTCGGCTTCTCCTTCAACTCCGTCAAGCACCAGGGCGTGTGCTGACAGGATTGCTGGCGCGGCCTCTGCTTGAGCCCCTCCTGGAGCCCGCGAGTCTTGAGTTTTTTTCTGAGCCATGGGATCTCTGGCCTCGGTCCTCGGGGATCCTGGCCGCTCGGGACGGCCTGGTTGGCCGCGAGCTCGGACAACGGTAAACTCCAGGGGGGCAAGGCTTTTTCGGTGAAGATTGGCCGCTCTGCGGCTCAGGTAGCACTTTGGCGTAAGCGGGGCCTCCCTCTGGTTTTCGGTTCCTCCTCTGTTGGTTCGTGCTCTCAGAGGTTGAAATCATTTCAGAGGGTCCCACCGTCAATCCGATGGCGTGACCTCATGGCCCGTGTGGATTCTGCAGTTTCGCAGGCTGCCGGCCACCCGTGCTTCCCATTTTTTCGGAAGTGCCAGGCTCCTGTGTATTTCGCCCGCCCAGTGGAGGAGTATTCTGTGCTCTCTCTGGGCAGGGAAGCTCCTTGTCGCACCACGCTGGGCAGGCTGCCTTTGCCTGCGCCCACCGCGGCCTGTGGTGGTGAGGGCTCTGGCAGCCCAGGGCCCGTGTCTGGGAGTCTGGTCCCTTGCAGCCATGATCTTGGGGCTCCTGGGCCGTTGGTGGACCAGGTGACTCGACATGTTCTGCAGTCGCCACCTTTTGCTCGAAGCGCTCGGTTTTTGGTCCCAGGACGTGCGAGCACTGGTCTAGATGACCTGTGCTTCCCTAGTGTAGGAGCTCGGTCTCCCCATGCCTGTGGTGATGCTGCGGCCGCCCAGATCGATTCTGTCTCTCTCAGGGTCCAGACCATCAATTGCAATTCCTGGGGCCGTATGCGTAGCATGATTGAAGGCACTGATGCGCATGTGCTGCTCTGTCAAGAGCACCGCTTGATTCGAGCTGAAGATATCGAACAGGCTAGCGCCTGGTGCCTCCGCCGCGGCTGGAAAAGTGCTTGGTCGCCTGCCACGGCCATTGAGGTGGGGGATTCCCCGGGGGGGTCGCCATCTTCGCGCGCTCCTGGTTGGGGTGTTTGGAGGTGCCTGGAGGGCAGGTCGTCAGTGGGCGCGCCCTGGTTTGCTCTTTCGAGACCCCTGGATGCCCCCCTCTCCTGGCGGCCTCGGCCTACCTTCACCACTCGGAGGGCCTCTCTGACGGGAACTTGAGCTTACTCTCGTCTCTGGGGGTGGTGCTGTCCACGGCTGCGAGACCCTGGATTCTTGGCGCTGGCTTCAACATGGACCCTGAAGTGTTCCGAGGCTCCGACTTCGTGCAGGAGCTCCGAGGCGCGTTGATTGCGCCTAGCGTTCCGACTCACTATCCTGCTGGGCCCCCGTCCACCTTCGACTATTTCGTGGTGCCAGGAGGCCTCAGCAAGGCCATTGAACGGATCGACACGAGGTTGGACACGGAGCTCTCGCCTCATCGCCCTGTGGACCTTCTGTTTTTTAAGCAGCTCGGAGTGTTGAAAGCTCTTTCTTTCCGACGGCCGCCCCCCCCCCCCCCTGCCGTGTGAGGCCGTCGTTGGACCCGCCCCCAGCCCCCCCCGTGTGGTCTGGGGTTCAGCTTCTCACTGATGCTGCTTTCCACCATGTCGATGTGGGCAGGCCTCAGGAGGCTGCATCTTTGCTCGGCCCCCTTTACCAGCGTTGGGCGGACCTGGCTGAGAAGGAGCTTGTTCCGCTTGTTGGCGAGGCTCCTGTCAAATATGGGTCCCGTGGGTTGGGCCCTCAGCTGGTGTGGAAGTCGGTCCCCGCCAAAGACAGCAAGGTGCGCTACCCGTCTCATCGGTCGATTGTTTGGCTCGGCCAGCAGCTCAAAGCCTACATTCACTCCCTCAGAGCGGGCGCTCTGATGGCTGGTACTGTGAAGGTCCTGTTGTTGCAGCCTCCTCAGTCCATTGATGACGCTAAGGCAGATTATGCACCACTGTTCAGCTTGGTGAAGGAGGCTGCGACGCGCACGGTTGACCCCTACTCCTTTGCTGACGTGTACACGCAGGTGCACGAGGCCGTTCAGGCCGCCGACTCGAAGTTCCGTGCCAAGGCCCGCTCAGATTGGAAGGCCTGGTTGAATGTCGGAGTGCAGTCAGGAGCGAAAAGAGTCCATACCCTCCTCAGGGACCCCGCCCCGTGGGCGGCTAGTTCGACTCTTTCGGCTGCTGGCAACGTGGCTTCTGACCCCCTCTCTTTACTGAAAGCTGAAGGGGGCCGATTTGCTGCGTTGTGGGGCCCTGGGATCGGTGCGGAGTCGGCCTTCGAGAGGCTGGAGAGCCCCCCCAGGTTGGGTGCCCAAGAAATCAGGGACATTTCGAAGTCTTACAAGACTGCGTCTGCTGTCTCGGTGGACGGGTTCCATTGCAGGCACTTCTCGCTCCTTTCTGATCCCTGCCTGGTCTGCCTGGGAGCTCTTTTCAGCCTCATGGAGGCTTTGGGTGCATTGCCCCCTTCAGATTTGCGTGGCTCTCTTGGCGCTGTTGCCGAAGCCGACTGGGGGCTACAGGCCTACAGGGGTGTTCTGCTCCTGGTACAGGGTGTGGGGGCGCTGCAGGCGACCCTTGGCCCTTGCCTGGGAGTTGGCCCACCCCCGTGAGTACTGGGCTGCTGGCCAGCATCGGGGAGCAGCGGACGTCGTTTGGCGCCAGGCTGCGACGGCCGAGGCGGGAGTCGCTCAGGGCCAAGCCAGTTGCAGCATTTTCTTCGATCTTTCTAAACTCTACGAGAACATTAACCTTGAGCGTTTAGAAGACCGTTGTCGCAGGATCGGTTCCCCGATGGTGATCGCCAGGCTTTGCATCTTTGCCTACAAAGTTGGTCGCTTCCCCAGCCTGGGGGGCTGGCTCGAGGGTCCTTATTCCTGTGTCAACGGCATCATCGCTGGCTGTTCAATGGCCACCACCCTCATCCGTGTCTATTGCATGGAAGGGTACGACAGCATCCCCCTTTCGCCTTCTGCTTCTTTGGACGCTTACATTGATGATCAAGGTTTGTCTTCGACTGGCCCCCCCGAAAGTCGTCATCGACTCGATCGCCCGAGGGGCCCGGGCGCTCGACTCTGCCGTCCAGGAAGTTTTCGGATGCGCCTTCGCCCTTGAAAATACGGCCATCGTGTCCAGTTCTAAGTGTGTGGGTTCGCAGGTGCTTTCTCGTCTCAGCCACCTGTGCCAGCGCTGCACAGGTTCAGCTGTCAACCTTGGAGTTGACTACTCGGCAGGCCGTGCTGTTAGAGTTGCTGGACGTTCGGCCAAGATGAAGGCCAGGCTCGCCAAGGCTGGCAGAGCGGCGCGGCGCCTAGTGCGGCAGGCTAAGGTGCTTACACGGTCATCTGCCTTAAAGGTCTTTTCAGCTGGGCCCCTGGTGGGGGCCTCGTACGGCTCCGAAGTCACGGGCATAAGTGATCGCGACCTTAGCTTGCTGCGCCGACGCTTCTTTAGTGTTGTGCGCCCTCACAGTCGGCTGAGGTCTCTCGCGGTGCTCGCCCTGCTGGACAATGACCCGACATGGCGTACGGCCACAGCTCCTATTCTCAGATGGAGCAAAGAGATCTGGCTCAGGCAGACAGGTGCTTTCAGCTGGGCGATCCCCCTGCCCACCTTGGGGATTGCCTGGGCTGCTATTTTGTCCGACCCCTGTTGTAGTTGGAGAAAGGTTGTTGGGTCGATCACGGCCATGAGGATGTCTCTTGTGAGATTAGGGTGGAGCATGTCTCACTTCATGACCCTGGTCGACGATTTTGGGAAATCCATCCCCCTTTGGGTTTTCTCGCCTGCTCTTGTTGGGCCCCTGGTCCGAGCGGGATACCTGAGGATGTTGGAGAGAGATGCTGCTGCCAGCCGGGGAATCTCTTATCGTTTGTGTTATGACGTCGTCAAGGAATCTATCGCTCCTCGTAGCAAGCGTTATACGGCCCTTCAGAAGGCCAGGATTAGAGCCTTCTCCACTGAGGCCATCATGGCTCAGGCTCGTGCCAGGGTCCTCGGGTACGATGTCGATCCGTGTTGTGTTCATTGCGGGGCTAACGACACCATCTTCCATCGGCTGTGGGAATGTCATTTCCCTGATGCTGTCACCGCTCGGCTTGAGGCTACTGACAGCGAGGTGATTGAAGCCGCCCTGTCTGCTAAGGCGTCTGGAGATGACGACGAGCTTTGTCTTTATTTCTGGCGCCTTTCGGCACCCCGCCGACTCCTTCCCTCGGGCGGCCGATGAGCAAGATGTTGATCCGACCCTGATCTGGCATAAGATGCCTGAGACGGACCCTGACGGAGCCCCTGTCAGCAATAGAGTGTGGGGGTCCCTTTTTTGTGGACGGCTCATGCTCCCGTCATACTGCCAAGGAGCTGTCTAGGGCTGGCTCTTCCGTCTGCATGGTCGACAATTCGGGCGATCTTGTGGCCGAGCTGAGGGCCCCTGTGTGGGGCCCCTACCCTCAGACTCCTCAGAGTGCTGAATTCAGTGCGTTCACCTGGGCCAATGTTCTTTCGACCCATCCTTCTGAATACCATGTGTATTCTGATTGCAGTAATGTGGTCCAGACTGCTGCGCTTGACAAGCAGCTTCGGCTCTCTCCTAAGCGCATGTATTCAGGGGCTTTTCTTCAGGTGCATGGTCAGGTCTCGGGGATGGCGGCCTGCACCAAGGTGGCTGCCCACCTTGACCTGGACGCGCCTGGGATTTCAGCTGAGGAGCGGTGGCGCCGTCTTGGCAACCACCACGCTGACGTGGGTGCCAAGCATGCGGTCCGCCTTCACCCCTCGGATGGTTCTCTCTTGCAGGAGGCCGATCGCCTTGTGCCATTGGCGAGGGCCACCTTGAAAGTTGCTGTGCATGTGCCCCCTCTGTGGCCTCCTGTGGATCTGGATGGGGTCGGCAGACTCCCAGAGGTAAAGAGTCCGAAGAAGGAGGCGCCAGGGCACGACTGGAGGTCGTGGGGCGGAATCTGGAGGTGCGCTCACTGTTTGAGGGGGAACC